AAAACGAATGGAACAATACATGGATCACAACTGAAAACACTCAATTGCACAGAAGTATCCGAGACTTTCACCAATAGACACCAAACTTTAGCAACAGAAAAGAAGGAATAATTATCACACACCTAAGAACTGGTCATACCAAGCTGACACACGAACACAAAATTAAAAAAAAACTACACCTCCTACCTGCAGTAATTGCAATAACCATCTATTAACAGTCACCCACATTCTGCACGAATGCCACACTATAGAAGCCCAAAGACAAAAACACGGAATTAACGCAAACATAAACCTGACTTCTTAAAATGACGTACAAAGAGTTTTAAAATATCTCAAAAACACAAACTACTACACACATATCTAATTCCATTGCTAATGACCTCGCTGTCGCGACGAAAAAGAAAAAGAAATCAAGAAGAATGAAGAACAATAAAATGAAATAATAATTTATAAATTTTCTAATGTCTAAGTGTTTTACAAAGTTAATGCCGTCGGTTTATCGGAAACGCAGCTTTCGGCGGAACAATTGAGTGAACGTAGATGGCCTTGATGTCAATTCCGTGGAGGTAACGGTCGCTACATTACCCCCTTTCGAGTCACTCGATCCGTAAGAGAGAGCAGACGATACAGGTGCCTTGACGTATGTAGGTTCGGTATTGTTGCTCTTCGTGTAGTTCTACATACGCCGGTTTCAATCGTTCCGTCGAGATGGTGGTTTCCTTGCCCTTGTAATCAATTAGAAACAGGTTATCTGATATGTGCTTTAGCACGCGATATGGACGTTCATATGGCCGTTCCAGAGGTTGTTTAACATGATCTAGTGGTACAAAAACATGAGTCCTGTCAGAAAGATTATTGAAATATGATCGTCTGGAGTGATGTCTTGTCGGTTTTGGGCGTATAATCTGCACGAATTATCTGAATTTACTAATGCTGAAATTTGTATCTGTGTCAATGTCGACAAAGAATTCTCCAGGTAGTCTGAGGGGTGTACCATATACAAATATTTATATGATATATAGAAGTGCCTTACTTGTAATCGTTCTAGTATCTGACGCAGATGATCATAGTGGTCAGACTCGTTGGTGGAGGCAATAAGCAGATCATCAATATAACAGAATGCAAAGTCGAGAGCCCTGATCACGACATCCATTCCATAAAACGCTGGAAGATCTGTGTCGCATTTTTCAAACCGAAAGGCATCACATTATATTCGAAAAGACCAAGTGGCGTAATTGCCGCTGTTTTTTTTACAATCTTCTGGCGCCATCGGAATTTGATAATATGCTCGTTCTAAGTCCAGAGTAGTAAAAATTATTTTGCCGTCCAGCGCGTGAGTAAAGTCATGTATGGAATTTGTGGGGTATTTGTCTGGTGTCATCTATGTATTTCGTCTGCGATAATCACCACACAATCTCCAAGTGCCATTTTTCTTGGAAACCATGTGCAGCGGACTAACCCATTCGCTTGAAGATGGTTGATAAATACCTTGTTGAATTAAGATTTGAAATTCCTCGTGAGCTGCTTTTTTTTTATGATGTAGACCATTTGATTAAAATATAAAAGGATTGTTAAATCTGTGTCTGGGTTGACCGCCAAAACATCATATAAAAATTGTGAAACTTGTTCCAAGAAAACAGCCTTTAAGACTGGATCCGGCACGTTCTTCTCGACCATACTCCTCATACGTTGCAAGAAGTGCGACGACTTTCCGTCGCCCATCCTGCAGGTTGTAAGGAGCGGGTAAACTTCGGTTTCCTCTGATCGACCAAAAAGCTCCAGGAATTTGCTCTTTAAGGTGTCATATTTATTAGAGTCTGGCGGCGTTTCAATGATGTCCTCTATCAAGAGGGCAACGTCGGATGGTACACGTGAAATTATGTGATCAAAGAGTTGCTAGTGAGTCTGCTCGCTCTCATGGCTGCTTCTATCTGGAGAAACCAGTTTAAGATTCTCCCTGTTGAACGGTGGAAAGTATTGTGCATAACCGAACTATTTGGATGAATATCACAATAGAAAAAATCATAAGTATATAATCAAAAAAGTATAAAATCATAAATAAATAAAACACATCATATCATGTGGATTAAGCTTTAATTTTAATTCTAATTTTTAGTTTTTAGTTTTAAAATTTTTACCAGTTTAAAGTTTAAAAAATGACAAATTTTACATGCCGCCAGTCATTAAAATTATAAATTTTATTCGAGACTTAAACCATTATGAATTTTTAAGGAATATGAAAAGTGAGTATGGTGGTAGTCTTTTTAACACAAAAGTTCGGTGATTGCTGTACAATGCAATGTACAATATATATGTATATACAATATATGTATATGATTCGCAAAATGAAATTCAATTATTCTTGAAAATTATCTTCTTCTAGAAAAAGCTCTTCATAATTAACCGCTTCTTAATACCGACGTGGAAACTTATGCATTGTCCCCAATCTTATAATGGGCAAACTGGTACATGCGAATCGCTTAATCAAACGCTTTGTTAAGACAACTTTCCATAACACCATATTTTTACATAAGCGAAGATACGGGATGAAAGCTTATCTGCTATCCTATGCCGATGGAGGCTTATCTATCGTCTAATAAGAATTGTCTATCATCGACGGTTACAGCGCATGAGTCTCCAGGATTTTCCAGATTCTGATTTTAATGCAGTTTTTCAAACTTCTTAGATGAGAAAAAAGTGCAGAAGTTAAATGTAATATCAGTCCTCGTTAGGCTGTCGCTAGCAAGTTGTTCGTACATATACACAGTGAATGATATGTTTCAAATACATAAAAGTACATCCAAATCAGCCGCTATAGTGGTATGAGTCCGTGCCCGTGTATCTTAACGGCACGGAAACCGAGCCAACAATGCCGCCTATTCAGTTAAAAATTTCCAAAATAGGAAACGAATACACAAGTGCAAAATTACCGAATGCTATCGTCAACGATGTTGAAATGGTAATAAGTGAGTCATCTAAATCAGCACAAAAATCAGTTGCAAATAAAAGAAGGAAAATCTACCTGACTATAGAAGCAACAGATCTCTTGACAAACACACACGCACCATCACAAACTGAAACATGGCTCCAAGCATTCCTACAAATAACACATACAACATTCTAACTCATATAAACATAGATGAAGATCAACCTAGTAATATTACGATAACAGAACAACTAAACCTCATCCAATATTTATACAAGCACAAATCATAGATCCGCTAATAGAGTACTTGAACAACAAGCAGGCAGCAATAATTTTGTATTAAAACAGCTAAAGGATAATCAAATAAGACTACAACTAAATAACGCCCGAACTTTACAAAAAATAGTAGATATTCTAAAAAGCAAAAATGTAAACTTCCACACCTTCCAACCTAAACAGACAGAAGTTACAAAGTAAACCTCCGAGAAATGCATCCGAAAAATAACGTAAACAAAATAATTGAAGAATTAAAACATTATAATCATCGGTTAGAGCAATTAACAACATATATTAAAATTAAAATTTGATTCCAAACAGCCGTGACCTTTCTTTACTATTGAACTTGAATCAAACAATAATAACAAAAACATATGCGATATAAATAAATTATTAAATATTATAGTTAAATTTGAACCTCTAAGGCCAAAACGAGACTTACCACAATGCTTCCGTTGCCAAGCATTCGGGCACACAAAAAATTATTGTCATAGATTATCTGCATGTGTCAAATCACCTAACACTGCAATGCCTACAAAAGAACAGGAGCAACTTCGGAAGAGAAGCATATGCAAAAAGGCTGGATCAGATTAAAAAGTTTGAACCTAGAAGTAATAAGCACCTGTTTGTAGGTTGTGCGAAAAATGAATATCGACTATGAGACAAAATCAAACAAAGAATAATCATGTTAAGGGACATGAATTTTGGAAATATTCCCTCGAGAGGAAGAAAAGGAAAAGAGACTGGCAAAAGTAAATGTGTTTGAAGAAGAACCCGAAAAAGAACCAAAATCAATGAATTCGAACACCGAAGAGGAAACTCAAGAAGAAGTAAGTGAAGAAATAAAAAATATTGGAGAAAAAAACACGAATAAGCAAGAAAATTCATCGGAGCCAGAAGAACAGACAATTAGAAAATCAAGTAGAGAAAGGAAACATCCAGACAGATATACTAGCTGCATGGTATTACGTATGAACAAGTATTAAATAGTTCCGACCAAGAAAATTAGAGAAACGCTATAGAAGAGAAAAAGAAATTTTTAGAAGAAAACGAAGTCTGGAAAACGGTGAATAAAGAAGAAGCAAAAGGAAAGAAAATTCTAAATGGGTGTTCAAAAGAAAGGACAATAGCAGATACAAAACTAGATTAGTAGCAAGGGGTTTCGAGCAAATATTTATGCAAGATTATAATGACACTTATAGTCCAGTTGTCAGCATAAATGCTCTTCGAACAATACTAGCACTCGCAATTAAAGAAAAAAGAACAATAATAACGTTTGATATAAAAGCAGCATTCCTGTATGGAGAAATTGAAGAAGAAATTTATTTAAACATTCCTGAAGCATATGAAAAAGAACCTACATAACTAATAGATAAGATCTACAAACTGCAAAAGGCCATTTATGGTCTCAAGCAAGCGTCAGTTTTCTGGAACCGGAAATTTACATATTTTATAACGTCCAAGAATCTTAAGGCTTCAAAGATCAAACATGTATTTTCGTAAATAAATCAACAATTTCAATTCTAGCTATATATGTGGATGATGGCATGATAATTTCAAGAAACAAAAAAGATCTAAACAAGAAATTCAAGATCAGTATAAATCAAAATTCGCAAAATTACCTAGGAATGGAACTAAAATGGGAAAAGGATTATTTAATATTGAATCAGAACGAGTATTGCAGACAAATTCTAGAAGGATATGGAATGTCGAATGCGAAAAGAGCAGATATCCCTTATGAGGTGAATGGTGACCAAAAATAAAAGACAACTAAAGAAAGCAATTTCCCATATATATAATGTGTGGGCAGTTTATTATATCTCAGTAACAGAACTCGACCCGACATCGCACACGCAGTAAATCGAGCAAGCAGGAAAGTAAAAAACAACATATATAAACAACTGATCGACGCATTCAACATTATTTCTTTTGTACAACATCGCCAACAATCAAATCACAGTGATACAATTTCTTTTTCAATCAATCTCGCAATCAGTTAATCGTCGTCACCATTATTCAAATATATCACTTGATCATAAAAGCTTCGAAATTTAATTTCAATACGAAATTCAACCCTTATCCCTGTAAATGTTCGTAAGGAAAGCGGACTGAAACGAACATCGAATCCGCGTAGTCCACGTCATAACAACACACTAAGATATTCTCTATATTGCACTTCTAATTCATTTTCTCAACTTTCATGCTTTCTTTCATACATTTCCTTCGTAAAAACAGGCATCTCTCTTTAAACCATTTACTAAAAATTAGAAACTAGTCAACCATTCATTCTTTCTATCGTCTCGAATTCGATTTCTAAATATAAACCACTTGACCTAGTTACTCGACTTAATTACGTCTAATCGCACTCTAGTTCTTTCTTCCTCGCCTTTTTCTCAAAATCTTTATCATTTTCTCAAATATCCTTTCGCATTCAAACTAAATAGTCTATTTTCTTAATTCTTAACTAAAACTAAAAACTAAATATATTTTCTTATCCTAAGTCCTTATCCTACAATAATTTATATATACCCATATTTATATATCTCTATTCTTGTATATTTTGGTTCATGTCACATCAATACATGTTATTTACATTGATACTTTTTCTTTGTATGATATGTTTGAATACAATCACCAAGGAAATTACAATATTTACACATATATATAAGCAGTCTCTCTACATGAATAACATACACATCTTCTTCCGACATTCTTATTGTTTCTTGCAATTCTTGCAAATTCGTATTTTTCTATGTCGGAATATGCTGTATCACAGGTTTCTTCTAGCTAAGATTGAGCTACATTGAGCATAAAGTTATGGAAATTGTTTGTTAATTAAGCATTTGAAAAACACGAAATGGATTAAATAAGACACTATAGAGATGATAAAAAAAAAACAATTTTTTCATCCATTTTAGAATTTTTCTGAAAATAGGATTATATGCTAGATATTAATTAATAAGATTGATGCTACTTATATATTGGTTTATATTATGTAACATAATGTATTATACAGCTTTTGATGAGAAATTGCGTATTCCAGTCGATTAGAATCTATTAATTTTGCATTATGAATAATTGAGATCATGTAAATATTACGATTTTTTGTACACTTCTATATCTTGTAGCACATTTCTCCACGTTTTTTTTAAAGAGTTTGATAATTCTCGATTTGTTTTTATTGTTCCACAGTTTTATTTTTTTTAATAATAACATCAAAACCAAATTTACACTATTATAAAAATTGTCTACATATAAATGATATCATTTGTTTAAGTATTGATCCATTAAGTTCATGATGGTCTTCTGATGCTCCTTCCACAATAGAGAATAAAATGACAAATATATCCAATTTTTGATTTGCAAACGATCTATTAAGGATGCTATATTTTGTAATTTTACTGGCATCCATGGCTAATGTGTTAATATTGTTCAAAATCTTTCATAAAATCACTTTTTTGCTGCGTAAATTGTAATGCATCCAAAATCTTCGTATTTTCGAGTATTTCCTAATTTTTTTTTTTTTTTGCAATTATTATAAATGAGTAGCATCTCATCGTCATCGAACATTTTGTTGCACCACAAAATACAAAATAGGTACATATGTATTCAATATGTTGATAATGCTGAAAATGGTGATATACCATGGTGTGGTAGCAAAGTCGCTCAGTAGAAATTGACGCAATGAATTTAGACAAATGCCGATGCAATGAAAACATAGTTTTAGGGTATCAAATTTTATGAAATCTTATACAAGTCATTCGTTCATGTAAGTGCTTTCAGTATCTCGATGTCGTGTTGCTCATCACATCTGTTAATCCTTTCCGGAATTTTTGAAGGCAGAATACTATTCTCCATTCTCGGCACCGTGTCAACTTATGCGCTTCACTAACCTCAAATTGTAAAGATGCCGTTAAGTAACTGCAACAAAGCCAATTTAGTCTTTACGTCAACCTGATACAGTCATCGACTTATGGTAAGTCACTATACATAATAATTGTACCTTCACATTTCTAGCAGTATGCAGCAGAATAAGGAATATTATAAGATATAAATGCTCAAAGCCAATCAACTGATATTACAAAGATATTAGTTGTGCTGACTAGTTCCCTGCCAAGATTTCTGTGCAACAAATCCACTGTGACTGTGAGCAAAGCAGCAGCTATTCGTGTAATAGTTGTGGTTTGGAGTCTAAAAATTGCCCAGGCTTTCTTTGCTGCGGAAATAGAATATTTCTCTTTCAACATTCTAATAACATCAACCATGTGCTAGCTTGACTTCTTCAGTAAACAGTCCCTCTGAAAATAAATATCAAACATACAAACTGAGCATCTTTATACTTTGAGATTATAATTTGATTTTATAAGATGAAACTTTAAGTATATGAAAATATACATATAAAATAAAAAATAAATCTGTAGCAAATCAAGACTCAAAGATTTCAGAAATAAATCAATTAAAGAAATTAGTACAAGAATAAAGACTTATTTCGGTGTATCAGAAAATTAAAATTTCCTGTCTATTGGAATATCAAGAATCACTTGCGAGAAAGAATCAGTGATTGCAAAAGAAAATAATAGATTTAATAGATTAGAAAACAAAATAAAAGTAAATAAAAATAATGAAAAATAAAGTAAATAAAAGTAAATAAGGTAAATTAAAGTAAATAAAGTAAATAAAAGTAATTCAATAGTAATTTAATGGAAAGAGTAATGATGCATGAGAGGACAGAATTAGCTGAGCAAGCTAGAGAAAATAGTTTAACTTCACAGACCTTATGTCGGTTTCTCCGTTCAGCTAATTTTTGCGCGATCGATATTGCTCCTCTGGGTAGATGCTATCCGACTGGATCTTCAAAATGTAGTAAATCCCCATATTTTAGGATTTTCGCTAAGATGACTTAAGTTCCACCTCCTTCAAAGTGCCTTAAAATTTTGAGTTCCAATTTTGAGTCCGACCTTTTAAAATGTTCACCTTTTATTAAAATACTTTTTTATTTGTAAATTCATTGGTACTCCCCAATGACGACTCCGTGATAAGAGAGTGTGACAAATGTCAAAAATATTTGTGACACTGTCTCTATACTGTTCCTGTCCTTGATAACTCCTTTGAATGGCCTGTACTTTTGCACTTTATTTTTGGAGTCTTTGCAATTTATTCATTGACTATCTGAGTATCAATGAACAAGGCTGACGTATCTAATGGTTACGAAATCAGATTTGAATTTCGTCAGATGTTTTGAAGTGGAGTCTCTTGTGCCATTTCATATTTCTTTGTCAATGCTCTCTTGATGTAAGAATATTTTATTGTGTTTTTCAATAACATACCTCATGAGTTCTATGGCACTGTTGAAGTATATGAATTAGTGTTTCTACGGCATTGCATTCAGTTTTATACAATTGGTCAATTGATTGACCACAAAATATTTGGGATTGGTCAAGCAAGGCGTTAATTCTCAGTTTAACCCCTTCTGGATTGGTACGCTTAAAGGCAGATATAGTTGGTCGTTTTGCTCACTCAGTTTTGCGCACTTAGAATAGCGCTGAGAGTCATAGTACTTATTTGAAGCCACGCTAGCCGCATATTAAATTGGTTGAACAAATAAAACCAATAAATTTAAATGAAATTATATTATTATTTTAATAAAACATTGAGCATTATATTTTATTTTTTATACTTTTATATTTCATATTCTGCGTATGATATTTTTTGAAACAATCTTCACTATGTAATCCAGGCTTCCGTGTAGAGTGTTGCAATAGTATCCACTATCTCATCTTTGGCATTTTTGTCGTTTGGAGCAGACTAAATACTTCTGCTCCCTTCGTTTTTACGTAAAATGTGCAAACTTCCATTCAATCGCTTTCTATATCAGATGTAGATGGCCTGCCATGATATTGTATCTGTGTATAACAAAATGAGCTCGTCAATTCATCTATCAGATTTCTTATGTATTGCACGTGGCTCAGAGGATGCCTCTTATATTTTTGGAATTTTTTATACAATAAATAATTCTTCACTGAACAGAGTTCTAACCAGAAAAGTAATTTCTTTCATCATTTAGTGGATTTTCTTAGGAAAAGATATGATGCGTAATATTCGTTTGCCTTATCAACTCCTGTTGATACTCAATAGTCCTGTTGTACTCAATAATTACTTTTGGTATTTTTTTATACTCAGGAGCACTGTCGCGTACTTTTATCGTTACTTCTGTCATTTCTGATGTATAATAATTGCTCAACATTTTATTTTTCCATACCAAAAGCAATAAATTTTCTGCCCGACACGCTAGGACTTTATTTTGGAGTTATGGTTTTTCTGTTGTTTGACACATATTTGCGATTAGATTGTATGGTACCGGTTAAATAACACTTCAATCCGAACAATTCATGAGCTAAATTTATGCTCAAGTAATACGTATCTACAAAAATGTGATGAGCGCCAAAAATTCAATCTAATAATTTTTTATATAAATATATTACAATTCTTGATGTTACCGACAAGTCGGGTCGTATTTGTTGTTAAATTGCCATAATGTGATAAAATTGCAAGTACATAATCAATATTTGAATCAGCTAATACGTACACCCGGACTTCTCATTTTGTGGGGATTTTCAGGTTGTACGTAATGAAACTACCGATTCGTCAATTGAAATTTGATGTCACGGAATAAAATATTTTCTAAATTCAGTATCGATAAGATCGAAAAATCTATTGACTTTTAGAACTCTCGTTCTATGTACTATTATGTGATTTGTCCGTGTATAAATGCAGTATTCAAAATATTTTTAAAAAACGTTTTCTACGAAATGTTTCTGCAAAAAATGGAATTTTTGAGTTTCATTGTTGTGATCAATAATTTTTCAACTCGAGTAATTATATCCATACACTTAATCGCTTAAGTGTATAAGTAGAAAATACGAAAAAGTTGCATTATCGGCATGCTTAACACGTTCTGTGCCGGGTCGATTTTTGATTACTTTCCGTTCAACTCGCGTGGGGCGTGGATCTCGATGGAATTGGTTTGCACTCCTCACACCAGCCGGCTTCATGTCTTAGCGATGGACAACATTTGCTTGCCAGTGGCAAACAGAGCAATGGCTATCTCGCTTCTCCCTTTTTCAGTTTAATTCCTTATCTTTCCCTTTTCTCTTCCTCGAGTCGTGATGCCTGGTACTTTGTGTAAATGAGTGTATTTTCCCGGGTGACTAGGCGATGTGAGCCTAAAAATTCACACGGTGCAGATCCAAATAACCTTGTTGATGACCTGTACCATCCAACCGTGATAAACATCTAAATGACATGAACGGACGCGTATATGGGGAGACTAGATACGTTTCCTTCCCCTCATTTTTCTGTTTGTGGTGGCATTGTCACCTAGTGCCTGCCATATCACTCGTGTATAAACGTTATGTTTATAACGTTTATTGCCTGGGTTCCCTACATCACCCCATTACCGATTGTCATGTGTGGCGCGGGGGAGTACACTTTGATATGATTATCTAATTTTATTTTTACGAAAGTCCCGCTTGAAATTGATCCGGAAACTGTACGCGTCTGCCCGGCTCGTGTGTTTTTATTTTCCGGTTGGTGGTAGCTATTTGTCGGTCGGACTGTTGATCAATCCGTTGGTTCATGAGGTGGTCCCTTGGTGGAAAGATTTTTGTCTGCCAATATGAAGCGAAAATCTGTCTACGGGGACCCTCTTACCATAGATGTCGATAGTGAAAGTTTTGTAATTACATTCGATAACTTTAAAAGAACCGTGGTAAGGGAGTTGCCCAAGGTGTTGAGTTCGGTTTATTTACAGCATATTTGTGATCTGTATCACCTGTGACCAATGTACACATATTAGTGTAAGGCTAATAACAGACATAATAGTTTCTTTTAATTTCTTTTCTTCGGCAGCATAAATTTCAAAATTACATATGTAGCCTGGTAGCTTCGCAGACTTCTCTCACAAGAAGGCCATTTTATTATTTTTTGAGAATTGTAGGTTTTAATTGAAAAGCTTCCTCGCTATTTAATGATATATTCATCTAGTGACAGTTCTTGACTGGGTATGTATGTCGATACTTCATTAAATTTTTTTTTTTTTTTTTCTTTTTGAAACAATCTATTACTGAATTTTTACGAGTCTGCTTGCATTGGGTGTAATTGTTGGAAAAATGTCAATATTGTCATATTTGCATGAATTTGTTCCTGCTCATCACTTTTGAAAAGATTGGTGTCTCAATAAATGGATCAGTTGACCAATAATCTTTGAATCTCTCTTTGTGTACTTGTCCCTTTATAACAATTAAGCCTAAAAATTTCTTCATTTCTGGTACTGTAATGTCCGTCCACGTTTTTGTCTTTGATGATTTTTCTCTATTTGAAAATGATATCTATTTGATTGGCTAACCATGTGCTGAAGCAAATCTTCTCTAATAAATAACTCTCTAATATCTGCTACACATTCTTGCGATTTTGGCATAACTTTTATTCCGAAGTTTCCCTCAAAAGTAATTGATTTCTTAATCGTTGACCAACTATTATTACACGTTGCAATATCATCTTATACAGTGGCATTATCCAGAATAATGTTTTCGTCAACTTATAATATCGCTGTCATCGCTGTCATCACTGAAACTGCTAACAGGAATATTCTGACAAAGAATCCAAACACACTTCTTCGTTTTCATTATTTGAATTCATATTAAAGGATTAAATAATTAATTTGAAATTTCATAAATGTACCGTAAAACGCTATCAATATTCACTCACAGCAAAATTATGATTAATGCGAATGCACTTTTATGCATTTATCGCCTCTACAAAAATAACTGCAACTGAAAAGCCTATTAAAATAGGCTATAAGCGGAGAAATTTTTAATAGGTTTCCCGTACATATAGTGTTAGGATTAGTGCACTAAATGAGCTACTGTGTCCGTCTGTTTTTTTCTGTCCACGTGGTAGACACTCTCTTTGCCAGTTGGCTATCTTTGATCCGTAGTTATTTCTATTGTCACTTAGTTCAATGATTTAAATTAATTATTAAATAAGTTGTTACATGTATTCGCTTAGAATTTATCTTTTTTTAACTATAATAACACTAGGTTATACTCTCACACCGGACGCTGGCACGAGAATGGACAAAAACGAGTCCATTCAGTGTGGTTTGAACGTTGGTTGAGAATAATTTATTTTTATTCGAATTCTATGAATCCTTATTTTAATACTAAACTTACGCGTAGTCAAATGATTGTTTTTAAATGTTCGTTTAGAATATCCTGCATACGATGTTATGCACTTTTTAATATTCACTTTTTTTTCTTATTGTTTATTTTTTGAAAAAAAATTTGTAGCCAACGAGCGGTTATTTAACCGCTTGAACTATTTATATTCTTTGCATGAATTTGTCTTCTGTTATTTTACCTGCTGAAGAAAACTGTTTATTTGAGAGTATGCCCAGCCATCTTCTCGCTACATTTAGTAAAGTCTTGTGACCCGAACAGAGAGGATCAAAACGTAAGAGTTAGGAAAATATATTTGACAGTCTATTATTATTTTGTATTTCAAGACTATTATTATTTTACTATTGTTCTATATATTACATGTAATAAGTGCCATTTTCAAAAAATTGAACAAATAACAATACTTTGTGGTAAATTTAATATAAATATAAATTTTAATATAAATTTAATATAAATTTTATATTTTATCTTTTTCCCATTTTTTTTTTTTTTTTTTATTCATTTCTTACCCAGTATAGATATTTTACATTTTCACATTTTAGTTTTTATTTTATCATTTGTGTATTCATCCCAAAAATGTCGAAGAATTCGAAAAATATCAAATTATTAGAGAAAATAAATAATATTGGCAAAGATTGTTCTGAAAATAACCAGGAAATTTCTGATATTGGAGGTGATATAAAAGGAAATAATTATGATCTATTTCACAACGACTCAGACACCGATAGCGACGAAGAGAATATTTTGGACAGAGAACAAAAGAGAATAAAATTTATAATTAGTTCTGAAAGTGAGAAGAACTAACCGAAACTGCTACAAACGGAACTGTTCGGCAAAAAATAAAAGAAAAGTCTAATCGCGGAAGAACATCGATTCATAATATTTTTAGGGAAACATGAGGACCGACAGAGTACACTAAATATTATGAAAGGTAAAGTTAGTTCGGCATTTTCTTTGATTATTGATCATAATATAATCGAACATATAAGAAAATGCATGGAAATAGAGGCATTTCGATTATTGGGAGCCAAATGGCGTCTAACGACTGCAAAATTATATGCATTTATTGAACTCCTGTATGCACGCGGTGCACATAAGGCTAGAAATATAGACATCACTATTATGGAGCAAAAAATGGAGTTCAATATTTTTCTCCAATACTATGACTTTACAGAAAGTTCATTCGGTCTGACAACCGAAATCAATAAAGCCAGCGCTTACAAACTGATAAATAAATATAAATAAATTCGTTATAGATAAATTCGTCTTGATTGCCGAAGTCTGGCGCAAATTTATTGAACACAGTCAAAACTGTTATACAAATCAGGACTATATCTATCTATAGATGAATTGTTTCCAAGGAAAGCAAGGTGAAGATTTACAT